TACATAATTAGTATATATATGTATATATATATATATATATATATATATATATATGTATATATGTATATATATGAACGTCTCTTTTCTCTGTCCCTCTACTTCGAACCGAATCTACTGTTACTACTGTCGCGCGGGTCTGGTGCTCAAACGTGTCTGGTAAGGAGCAGCGCAGGATAGCAGCTGAAACGGAGCCACGAGATCGCGGAATCGTCGTGAGTCGGACAGGTCCGTCTACCAGCCTGCCCCCGCTTCTTCTCTTCGTCCGGTCCCCTCTTCTCTTTGTACTCCCGGCCCTTACTCTCTATCTTTCTCTGTCTTACGTACTCCACGTTGTCCTCCGTCTCTCTCCGTTCTCTACAATCTCAGTCTTCCTTGATCTTCCATCTCTTTCCTTACCGCCTTTTACCGTCTCCTCTCTCTCTCTCTTTCACTAGTTCCCTCTTTCTTTGTTGCTGCGTAGCGAGAGCAAAACTCAACCTTCTCTCTCCGGTGTCTGGCTCGTCTCTGTTGACGATGCTCTGGTACTGCTCGTGGTTGCACTGCGTCGTGAGCCACGTGACCGAGAGACACCTTTTCCCATTGGCAATTCCCCCACCGCCGGGACTTTTGTCATTGCTCGTCCGAAAAGCATCGCACATTTCTGCGTTGTGTGAGTGCGTGCTGTGACGCTGTTTACTTCTGACCGAATGGTTGGTCGGTTTCGCTGATAGGTTCTTCTGGTCGGGCCTCCTGACCCTTACAAAATTACCTTACGCCGAAGCTGTTTTTTAACACCTTACTTTATTTCCTACCGGGCTACACAATCGTTACGTTCGAAGCGTAACGTCGACGGTAACGATTTCTCGTCAACTTATCGAAATCAAATGGATGCTCACGTTTCAGTTACACAGTGGTCTCGATCGGAAATTGCAGTTCGATTTATCGGATCGTTTGTTCGTCGTTTCTCTACTTGTATATTTCCCGTCGTCGGTCGTTTCGTCGTTGTAAATTAATAATCACTTTGTTGCTGGGTAAACTTAAGAGAATTACGAGTATTAGAATGCATTATCGTACTGGGTTATCTATTGGTACTTGAAACGCAAGTGTAATGACATGATAATTTCAAGAAATTATTATTCCTTTGGCATAGCTATGTATTAACATGATTATGAATAAAAGGCAGATCTGTTATTTTAAATGGTTGTTGCTGATTTCAATTTCAAATAAAATTCACATAACCCCCTTTTCCATCGAGTCCTCCTACTGTGCCTGTTGACGGAATAATTGCTAAAATATGAACAATACTTCAAATTATTTCTAACCTATTTATTCAATCTTGTTAACAAGATTTTATGGTATCTTGAGTGTGTTTCTCTGTTATCTTGTTACAACATTATTATCTTGTACACAGATTGTATGTTTGTGTAAAGTACTCGTAACTGAAAATATTACCGCAATTAATTCCACCTGCTTTTAATTGAAATGTTACGAAACAAACATGTTTTGATAATTGATTTTTATATATATATAGAAAAAATATATACAACTATTTTGTCTCATGGAAGTTAAACCAAATTCAAAATAATAGCTCGTCCCACTCCAGGTACCCAAAAGTTGGCAAACGAAATATATAGGTTAGCAGTTCTCTGCTACATTTTGATATTCAATAGTGCACAATGTTTTATAGCCAGAAATAGACAAAACCATGCTGATTAAGAAAATCCACATCATTGACGTAATACCTGGAAAAGTTATCATTTGTCGTGTTTTTAACTAACATTTAATTCATACGTAAACGTGGCAAAAGGAATGTGTGGCGCCATCTACGGCAAAACGTCCAAGCTGCTAGCCAATTAGTACTGCATTTACACTAATAGATGGCGCAGTATGATATCTTTAACGTTTGATTATGAATTAAATCTTGTTTATCAAACACAAACCGAAAATGAGTTTTATTAATGCCGAGTTATTCACGACAGACTTCTTCAACGATCTAATTTAGTTTCAACATCTGTTGATTATATTTTTAATTTTATCTTGCAGCATTAGAACAAGCTCTAACCTTTTTAATTACATTTAATGAACGTACTTGAGAAGTAATCTTAATTATAAAATCCCATAATCGATTCGACTTTACTACAACATCTAATTATATTTTTGTACAATATTTAACAATTTTTAAAAATGCTTCTCTTGTCGTTCGATGTCACGGCATAAAGATGGCATTCATTTTAGTCGATGATTCACGTGTTATCAAAATGAAATGGAGGAAATAACTAGGTTTATCGCCAGTGATATAATAAATAGATTATAAGTAAAACTAAAGACCATAAATTCTAGGATCTACGACGACTATGTCATGCAGTATGATTTATGATGACAAGTTGCGTTGTTTTTATTTGAAGGAAAATGTATTGATTCTGTAAAACAAAATATAAATTATATTGCGAAGTTAAATGTTAATTGTGTTTTATATACAAGTAAAATATATGCAATCCATTTCTACGTCTCTCAATTTTCAAATTATACTTCACTTACGTTCTTATACTACGTATTGTACATAATACTTGTAAAAACATGGATGAATTAAGCCCACCTAAACGAATAAAAACGTTCGATTTACTGGAAAAGTTTAAGAATAATAGAAAAAATGTATAATAAATTTCTCGTAATAAACTAAGATAGGATCTTTTTGACCTTTTCGACCTTTTTGACACTTGAATGTTTTTCTAGACTGCTGAATCTATTATGACATTTAATTTTAACAAAAAACGCGTTCGTTTATTAAGCAAATTAAATGATGTGAGAGATGGTTGCAAAGGAATTTTATACTGGATGTTTCGTGATGTTAGAGTACAAGGTACTTTTTAATGTAGACAGTATTGCCCATATATTGAATATGTAAGAACTCTTTTAATTATTAAATAACCATTTTTGTATTTTAAGATAATTGGGCTCTGTTGTTCGCCCAGAGAACTGCTTTAAAGAATAAACTACCTCTTCACATCTGTTTCTGCATAATGCCAAACTTCTTAGGAGCTTCAATGCGCCATTATAAATTTCTGTTACAAGGCTTAAAGGAAATTGAAGCAGAATGTAAAACGCTCAATATAAACTTTCATCTTTTACATGGGGAGCCGAATGTTAGCATCATTGAATTTGTAAAAACATACCAAATGGGTGCTGTAATTGCAGATTTTTGCCCATTGAAATTACCTATGTCATGGATCAATGATGTACAAAATAATCTTCCAGTTGATGTACCTTTTTGTCAAGTAAATACACTTTATTTTTATATTAATATTTTATTTATTCAATATAAAATACAATGACTCACTTTGGTGTATTTACTATTCAAGGTAGATGCACATAATATTGTGCCTTGCTGGGAAGCTTCAGAAAAACAGGAATTTGCAGCTAGAACAATTAGAAATAAAATAAATACAAGATTGAAGGAATTTTTAGTGGAATTTCCACCTGCTATAAGACACCCATATCTCACAAAGGGAAGATTCAAAGAAAACAATTGGGAAACAGCATTAGAAAATATAGAAGTAGATTCAGCAGTAGGTGAAATCAAATGGGCAAAACCAGGATATGAAAATGGTATTAAAGAACTGGAGAGTTTTATACAAAATCGTTTGAAAAGATATGCAACTGAACGTAATGATCCTTTATCGAATGCTACTAGCAATTTGTCTCCTTGGTTTCACTTTGGCATGATATCTGTGCAGCGTTGCATTTTGGAAGTACAAGAATATAAAAAATTATATTCGAAATCAGTTGAATCTTTTATGGAAGAAGCTATTGTTCGACGGGAACTTAGCGATAATTTTTGCTTCTATAACGAGAATTACGATGTTGTAGAAGGCGCTTATGCATGGGCAATAGAAACACTAAATAAACATCGGTATTCTTTTTCATTTATTTTATTAGAAAATACTCTTGTGTTTTACTACTGATATTGTTATATATGTACATAGGAAAGATAAAAGAACGTATGTATATACTTTGAATGAGTTGGAAAATTCTGAGACCCATGATGATTTATGGAATGCATGTCAAAATCAAATGATAACAGTAGGAAAAATGCATGGATTTTTGAGAATGTACTGGGCAAAAAAGATATTAGAATGGGCTGAGACACCTGAAAATGCTTTAGAGTGGGCCAATTATTTGAATAATAAGTATAGCATAGATGGTTGTGACCCTAATGGCTATGTAGGTGTGTGTCATATTTATTTTGTGCATATGATATAAAAACTTAAAAATGTACATTTTGTTTTTGTAGGTTGTGCATGGTCTATATGTGGTGTCCATGATCATGGTTGGACAGAAAGGAGTATATTTGGAAAAATAAGATACATGAACTATGAGGGATGTAAACGGAAATTCAAAGTTAAAGAATTCGTTGATAAATGGGAGAAGAAGGAAGCTGATAACAACATATCAAAATAAGATAATTAACAGTCAAATATTGGGAAATAAGATATTAATACAAAAATAGATTTAAAAGTAATATACATAACAATAGCAGAGTTATAAGAAAATTTCTCTTGCTATCAAAATAACTTCAGTATTATCTAAGATTTTCAACATTCTTCTAGTATTTCAATTTGTTAACATTTAGTATCATTGCATAGCATTGACAATGAAGGTGGAACTGCATCTAATGATGTCAATGAAAGTGCAGCTGCCTTTAGAGCTAAAGAAAGGCAATCAGTCTCAATCATATTTTTATGAATTCCACAAATTATTCCTGCTGTGAGACAATCTCCACAACCGCTTACATTGAATGTTTCATTCGAATCATCAGAAGTATAGGATAACGGTAGATACAAACGTGAAGTAGTCGCGGTATGCGAAATCAGTTTGCCTTCTTTATCGTAAAAGGGCTCGTTTCCCAGAGCTTTACGAACAACCTAGGATAAATGAAATTACGCATTAGTGAAAGTATTAAGAATATTAAGTTTTTATAATTAACTTACCAATACTCCTTGTGAACCCAGTGTACTTATAACTACTGGGACAAATTCAGCTACTTGTTCTGCAATCGCTTTTACTTCTTCTAAGTCGAAACTTGACTCAACTGCAGGCACTGATATTCCAAAATATTTTCCAATTGCTCTTAATTCATTCCTATTTGGAGATATAAAGTGAAGAACATTTTGCCACTGGGAGTTTGTTTCAAATATTTTTGTTGCTTTCTTCAGATCCGTGGGCTCGTACCAAACTAAAAAAATAATTCAATATATTTTTAAGTGTACCATTACGATCCAAGTACATACGTTGTATTGTATTATATGAAATATGTGATTGTTTCAAACGTCGTGAAAAAATTTATTCAAATAAACCGCTAAAAAAATTAAGTGTAGTTTCCATAATGTGGAGCGCTGTGTGAGCGGTAAAAAATCTTTATAAGGTTGGACATCTACAAAGCCTGTGTTTCATGAAGAAGATATATAGAACATTAGCATGTGTGTGTACATATTTCCGTACAACCATACGCTGCAGCCGTCAGAAATATACATTTTTGTTACCTGTTAATAACAAACAATAAAGTAACAAAAGTTTCTTGTTACTGTATTAACGATACAATGGGTAAAACTCGAAATGGAAAGGCTGCTGCTATATGTACGGCAGTAGCATTTGTTTTAATAGTGATTGCATTCACCACACCCAATTGGCTCGAAACTGACGGAAAATTGGAAAATCCAAAATTTATTAAAATTGGTAATTTGACTTGTAGTGTTTCCATTACTATGAGAACAACGTTAATTTTCATTCGAAAATTAGTAGTGTTAGTTGGTTGTCAATCATTTCAATTGTTACAAGACAAGTTTTGAATGAAATGTTGAACGTTTTGTTTACAATAGCATTCCAGTATCTGGCTCATAATACATTATTTGTTCTTGTAGGTTTATGGCAGGTATGTTTTCAAGGATTTGAACATCCCCATCATTTGTACGACACTAAATTTTACGGCTGTTGGTGGGTGTTTGAAGAGGAATATTATATAATTCATGATATTCTGCTACCAGACTTTTTTGTGGCAACACAGTTCTTCTTCACATTGTGCTTGACTTTGCTGCTAATAGGAAGTTTCTTAACAACATTGTACACATGTTGTTCACGACATCATGATAAATATCAGTTACTTTTGTGGACAACTGGTGGAAATTTATTATTAGGTGGTATATGTGGTATCATAGCTGTTATCATATTTGGTGCACGAGGGGATGGTAGAGATTGGATGCCAAATTGGGAGCATAATGACATCAGTTGGTCTTATGCATTAGCAGTCATTGGTAGCTTCCTTTTGATCATTTCTGGAGTTCTCTTTTTAATCGAAGGTCGCAGACATAAGAAGAAACAAGAGAGAATATTAAATGAAGAACAGAAGACACATACAACCATCTAATTACAGTCTTCGAGAATAATACAAATTAATCCGATCTAAATTATTTGAAATAATGAAAAACTGCACACAGTTCTCTTGAGTTCGAGCACAATTTATGTAGAATTATTTTGAATAAGCTCAGTGTGCAAATCTTTAATGACTATCATATATTTTTTACAATTTATACTCATTATATTGATAAGTATTATTTACACTGCATATGAACATCCATGTTAACTTATAAATGCAGTAACACCAATGAAATTTTTAACAAAGCTAAGGCAACCCAGGGCTGAGAAAGATATTTTATAAACCCATATAACGTTTAATCCAAGTAAATTATGAATATATTTTAGTTGTTTTTGTAGAATAATTACTGCTATGAATCCGTCCATAGAAATAAGGAATTTTATGTGACAAGACTAAGAGTCTGTAAATAGGAATAATACTAGACATGTAACTGAAACCATTGCATGGTCTAGATCCAAACAAATATTGTATATTTGTTGTAATTTTTTATATCAGAAAAGTGTATGAGAAGTTGAAGCAATAAAATAATTTGTTTAAAACTTTCCGTTTTATCATTCCCTTTGGACTAACATATTTTACTTCCGTGAAGAAGAAACGAAAACTATTCAAGTGAAATTACAGATTTCAATCAATTACATTTCTGGGGAAAAATAATTAACTTGCAAAGGACAGAACACGGTCAAGCTGTGACCTATTTTACTATCGGAGGAAATAATTCAACGTGAGTTACGACTAAGATTGCGTGCACGAAGATCGACGTCAGGTGTAAGTCGTTGACCCAGTTTAGCTCCTATTTTAATCAGCAACTTCTACAATTCGTATACTATATCGATCACACCTGAAAAACATTCTTTTTACACCTCCGCCACCGTGGTAATCCCACAGTATCGAATACAAGGAAAGAAAACAAAAACGATTATCTTTCATCTGTTCGACCTTGTTCCCGAATCATAAAATGTTTTTCTTTTAATTATTTAACACCTCGGTAATTTCAATAACCTATGACTAAGAGTTGCCCAAAAAGACAAATCTAATTAAAAACAGATAATAATAAAATATAAAGATACAACGAACGTTCACCCATATCGTGTATCGTAAAATATCCATCAAAATGGGAAGAATGTAACGTGACAAACAATACATCATAGTTCCGTCACTATTAATTTTTTTTATTCCTCTAATGATATGCAGGGACTTAAAGAGTCATTTAATGAACCAAGTCATGTGAATTGCATCTGAATGAATCATGAGCGGAATGACAGTAAAAGTGACGCGCATTCCCAGAAGCTTCACTAAGAACGATGGTTGTAGTACCGAGTATACGGGTACTACATAATTACGTTGAATTGTTCAGAAATCTTTTTCTTTTCTTCTATTTCCTAGATTTTTAGGAATCGATTTAAATGCATCTTACAGCACCGAATGAAAATAGCACGGGTGAAATGTCGATGATGTAACGCCCTTACATGAGAAATCACATAAATTTGTTCACGCACGGGGCAAGGTTCCCCATTTAAAATTAATATTTGCGTGGGTATGTGTACTATGATAATATAACCGGATATTCGGAGAACGCAAACAGAAGGACTAACTTTGTTCAAAGTATTCGATATAATGTGCCTATGCAATTGTCATTTAAAATACTTTCCGTAACAGATTGAGAACCGTTTCCTGCTGGTTTGTGCTCGTGGGATTCTCGCGAGTCTACAAGGTTAGGTTGGATGCTATGCTACACAGCCAGCACACAACATAACGTGTTTGGGTGTGGTTAATACCGTGGGATCTTTACTGGATCGGTGGATTTGAAACGTTTGTCGTACGCTCTATTCTGCGTCGTGATCTCCATCGTTCACAGAACGATTTTTCACGATGAAGAAGAGAAGCTTTTCCGGCAATATCGGAGTCGGTGTTTACATCGTCTCGTTCGTCTGCGTTTGCGTCGCATTCGGTACCCCAGCATGGTTAGTGAGCGATTATCGGATTACTGGCGCGAAATTGGACAAATTGGGTCTTTGGACTCATTGCTTTAGATCTTTACCGAATCCTCAAGAAATGGATGCACCTAGACGTTTCTTCGTTGGCTGCAGATGGGTCTATGATCCCTTCACTGCAGGATACTCTGATATTCGTGGTTTCCTACTACCTCGTAAGTGAATTCAAATTCTTCCTATATTTAATTACATAACTGTGAAAGCTTACATCAATCCTAATACCGGTTGTTTCTGTTACAGCATTCATGATAGCAACACAATTTTTCTTTACTCTGTGTTTCCTGATGAGTATAATATCATTGATGTTGATTTTGTTATTCACTTTGTGCTGCGATCCAGAGCAGAAGAGATACGTTCAACTTATCTTCACTATTGGATATTTATTGCTAATTGGTGGTATAAGTGGTGGATTGGCAGTGATTATATTCGCCTGTTTGGGGAACACGGATGGTTGGATGCCTGGACACGCGAATAACTTCTTCGGCTGGTCTTTCATAATGGCAGTTGTAGGTAGTGTACTCACTATTATAGCAGGTACACTTTTCCTTGTTGAGGCAAACGTGCAACGTAAAAAGAGAGAATACCTGAGAGAATCTCAAACAAGATTCCAGCTTGAATCTCGTACATAAGTAAGGATATTTATTTTAGAAGACTTGCACAACATTTTAGTACCAAAATATTGTAACATTACTCCGTCCATATTCGCATGTTTTCACAGGAGAACTATTATGTAGTGTTAAGGTAGAATTGCTATTACTTTAAGTACAAAGTAAGATATGAAACAAGATTTGTATTTTTGTACAATGTTTTATACATACAGGATATGTACAAGTGTATTCCGTGCAGAGGAGCATCTGTATATTCATTTTGTTATCGTTTTTCTTTCGTTGTGCATCAACTTTTCTGCAGATCAGTATTGCAGTGAGATGCCTTAAAAGAAGAAGAGTAATCTCATAATTAACATAGGATGATATATCATCCTTACTCATTTTATAGATAGTATAAGTTGTTAAATATTAAATGATTTTATAATGTAAACTTTCACTGCCACTGGTGAATTTATATATAATAAATCTGCAACGAAATCCGTCCTAAGATATAGAAACTTTTATAACATTGTTGCATTTAATCCAAATGCAGCACTGCATAAATTTTTGTATCATATTTTTATTTGAATAAAGATTTAATTAAAGATCTAATTAATTCTATTCATTTTATACTGTACTTTATTGAAAATATTAATTAAATTAAAAAAATTAAATCGTACAACGGGATCGATTCGAGCGCCAATGGCTTGTGAAGTACAAACTTGTAGGCAGCCACCTTCATGGTAGTTGAATTTTTGTTGGCAGCAATGGAGTGGTGAGAGGTGTGGCAAGTTTACGACAAAGTCAGTGTTTTGATCATTTATAAACAAAATTTTTGTTAGTGTAGATTAACTTTTAATTTCTCTTCCAACGCTAAACGAATAATCAGCAATGTCTGTCGATAAACAGGAATATCATAGAGCATCGAGTAAGCAGTATTATTTTGTAATATCTAACTTGTTTAAAAAACTCATTCTTAACCTCTATTAATCATTAATTATGCTATTCTAGATGCGGTAGTATTCGGTGGACTGATTACATATATTGCTGGTTTGTTGTTGGTAATGGCATTTACAAGGTAATAATCTGCTTTTCATTGAAAATCATTTATGCATATTATGAATTCTCTGTACAATTAATATATACTGAATTGACTTATTTTTAGTCCTTACTGGATCGAGTCTTATCAAGAAACATTCAGTAGTTTTAAACATATGGGTCTATGGGAATATTGTTTCGAACAATTCAGATATCCTTACTATCAATTTGACAAACAATTCGACGGATGTCATCACATTTTTTCAGAGGAATATTATGTGATTCGTGAATGGTTATTACCAATATGGCTATTAGTAGTGCAAACTTTTGTCACACTTGCCCTGTTACTGTCCTTCTATGGACAAGTTTTGATAGCTTTAATCTTAGTTCGTTGGCCATTGAAATTTGTATTGAAGAATGAATGGCTTATCTCTGCAGGTGCCTTTTTGTGCTGTGCAGGTGCAGGTAAGTATTTTATAAAGTCCTTTTGCGCATTTGCGTCTTTGTACAGAATAAATAAAATCAACCAAATGTACAATAATAATATGCCTGTAGATCATTCCCGTAATTTTTAAATTTCAGGTACATTATTGTTCTTAGCTGTATCAATATTTGGAGGACAATGCTGGCGCAGGGATTGGTTGATGTATCCAAACTTTAATCACTTATCTTGGTCATACGCATTAGCTGTTATTTCATTTATGTTTCACTGGCTAGCCGCATTTTTCCTATACTTGGACGCCAAAGCTGGCCACAGAATGCACAGAGAATCTCGTAATTTGGTGATGCAGATGCAGCCGAATCCGCAGTCGCACCAAGGGTTGCAAAGAGGCGGATATATATAATTAAGTCTCCCGATCGTAGAGTACACAAAGTATATGATTTATGCACAGCGAATCGAAAATTGAGATCTGCTTTCAAAGTTACTCTACACGATATTATTGTGTAACTGTGTTCACGCGAATATCTTTAGTGATACTATTTAACTCCGTCCATTTATTTTGTTTCTTTTGTAAGAATTTACATAGTAGAGACCAAGAGAACTGTTTTATATCATAGTTTTGTACATGCTATTTTAAAGGAATTATATTCTATTCTATCGTCGCGGACGTCTGTGTACGCAGAGGTTCTATAAGAAGTTACTGAGATCGTGATATCAAGTTTTATATATTGTTGACTATTTGAAAAGTACGATCGATCACACACGAGAATGACAGTCCAATAATCGAGCGAAGAAAGGATTATGAAGCGATTAAAAAGGCGTTATTACTCACCTGGAATTTTCGAGTGCGTCGCCAAGTCCAGAACGTATTTAACCGTGTCCAAAGGTAGATTCCCGTCGAGAACAATGAAGCTAGCGTTTTCCACGTGCGTCCGATATTTCTTCACGAAACTGGGACTGATGTTGGCGAAGACGTCCATCTCGCCGATCACGAAACGGCACTCGCCTTTGTAGTCGATTATCACGGTACATCTCGAATGATAAAATTCAAAGAAATATATTCATCTGATAAGAGACTGTCTGTGTTTTGTAGACTATGCGTTTCATGGAATCACGCGGTCCATCGCGAAGAGGAAGCCTCGCTCGCGCACGGTCCGAAGACGGTAAAAGAATCGCTATTGAAAATCGGTGGCAAGTGGTCTCGAGTGATTTCCACGAGGTCAATGGTTATTCCGATCTGTGCCATCCGTTGCGGAGCCAATAGCCATTAACGGCAACGATGGGCTTTTACCGTCTCCAGACTTGCCGCCGCGGAACAGTTCTTCCTCTCGAACCTTGAGCCGTTAAACGAACCCTGCTACCGCCCCTGTTAATCTCTAATGGTTTATTCGCGGGCTCGAGTTTTTATGGTCGATACTACCCGAGAGGGAAGCAGATACAAGTTATGCCCTTTGAGGATCTTTCATCGTTCAACGGCAGCGTACCCTTGTTACGGGTATATTTAAGGTACTCGACTCGTGGCATTCAATTCTCGCGGGTTATAGGAAAAATCAACGGAGAACCTTGCGAATTCTCCGCTACTCCGGCTGTTATAAATGCTTCAGCCCAACAGGCACGTCCTGCTATTTCGTCTGAAAATAATTGAATATAATTGGAAAGGGGCACAGCTTGTACAATAGTACGACACAGAAACATCGAGTTCCCGTGATAAACAGCGCGAAGGGTAGATTGTAAGCGACGGATGTCGATCACGGGGGAAGGTGCGCATACCTAGCCGTAGACATGTTCGGGAACCGCTCGACGGTCCAGCCGCCGTCTCCTAGACTTTTAATTATAGCTTTGCCGGGCTGGTCGTTGCCAACGACGGATATCAACCGCGTCGCGCTCATACCGAGGTTGATCAAGGCGTTGGCGACATTTCGCCCGACCCCGCCGCAACTTTCTCGGCTTCTACCGGCATGCGTTCTGCCATCGTCCTGAAAGAATACGTCGATTATTGATCCGGGATATGGAAAAGATGCGCCGCTCTAATCACGCGCGACCGACACCGTCGTCCTCCCGATCGATCGATCGTCGTCGTCGTCGTCGTCGTCGTCGAACGTCCACGTGAAACGGCGAGCCGATGTTTTCGATTAACACCCCCCGCCTCCGATCGTGAACGGTCCGCCGGACACGCGCGACGATTTCCCCTGAAAAATCGAAAGCGTCGGCCGATGCATCTCGTTTCGAAGTTTTCGAACGTCGCGCGCGTCGGCAAGACCACCGGTTATTTTAAAAATAATCATCGATCGGACGTCTTTCTCCGTCCCGCTTTCTCTTTTCTTGTTCAGGCCGGTGTGGCGTGTATAGTTGTATCGGTACCAGTCACCCCCGTGGTGTAACGCCGTCTATTTTAACCCCAGAGCTTTCGATTCTTTCAGAGCGTGGATTGGAATTATAAAATCGCCGTCGGTCCCGAGCGCGTATATCCGTAACACGTGCCGCCTCGAGGACATCACGTTCGAAGGATTAATTTGCCACCCTATCCCCGTTTCACGGTTTCGTCCGCCCTCCGTCCGCCCTCCGTCCGCCCTCCCGCTCGCTGGCGACGCCGAGAATAAATACACGGGGAAAGCGTGAATTTTTCAAGGAGATACGCCAGCGACTCTTTCTCCGGCGGCGCTTTCGCTTCCTTCTACGTCCCAACGATTCAATTACGAGACAAGCATTTCTCTGAAGGTACTCGCAGAGTCATTCAGCGGAAGGCTGCCACTCGGCAAAGGGGAACGAGAGAGAGGGTGAGGGAAAGAGGGAGAGAGCGACCCCTTTACCGCGCAAGCTTCTTTTCCACCCTTCCGTTTCCCATTTGTTCATTTCGCTTTTTCTTTCCGCCGGTCCCCTCCGGTCCCCTCCGGCCAATCCAGTGAGATTTTTCTTCCGGAATCGTGTTCCCCGTGATTCTACACGTTTCTCGTCCTCGCCTGTCCCGTCGGTCCCCCTCGAGGCGCGATTCGCATTCTCCGGAAGACGCTCGCCGAAACGATGCTCGTCGGGTCCGGTGGTTTTTCGCGCGACTAGCTTCCACCCCCTCGTCCCCGTTTGCTCGCCGCGTACCTCCTCTCCTCCGGTGGCTCGGTCTACTCCGTCACGTACAACTTTACAACTTTCTCTTTCCGTATTCCGCTCGGTACGCGTTTCCTTCCAGCCCGCTCCGTCCTCCCTTGGTCCAACTGCCCCTGGAACTTGGCCTTTTTTCTTTGCCAGCCTCCCCTCGCCGGCCGCCGCGCCGAGGTTTCCCCCACCGTCGGAAGCGGGCCGTCTCTCTTGCTCGCATCCCGGCCCGACGAGCTTTTCTAATTCGCCCCGTGGAGCTCGGTCCCCTCCATCTTAAGGTCCGCCGCCTCGTTTCCTCCTCGGCCCTTCCATCGAGCTTCCTACTTTCACCTGCTCGCCCCTGGCCGGTGTTCGCTCCGTCTCCGTCCATCCCCTCCTGGCCCCGTCCCTTTCCCTCGC